GCCTATGGGTGTTTAGTTTATGGGCAGAGACCCTTGTCTGTGGCAGGGGCCGCTGCAGTGGAAATGACGCTTTAATAAGCTTTTTTACCATTTTTCAGTTGTTTTTGTGAAGCGTGTATTCTGCAGTTCACTTCTAGAGTTTGTTTGATGACTTCTTCACTGGTTTAGCAGGTTTTGCATATTTTTAGAAGTACAGAACCAAAGGGTTCTACAAACAAGTAACAACTGTAAGCAAAAAAGTACATCTACAGCTGGATCCTCATTAACTTCTTGCATTTCATATACTTTTACAATTTAAAGTCGTAATATGTGTAAGAGTGCTCCCCCTTGAATGATGGCTTCTTTGCATGAGACCAAAGGCATTGTCTCCATCACCAGTTTCATTAAAGCATTTTGGAAAATATTGAACATTCTGTGCCTGATGGGCCAGAAAGGAGAAAAACTGTGTTTGTACAAAAGGTGCTTGATTTTATTTTTATATAAATCAGTTCCTTCTTTATGATGAGAGCTAATCTCCATGCCTTCTTAGATATTCATGGGATCCAATTGCAGAGGACGTTTGCAGGTAGGGTAGTCACTGACGCAGATCTTCAGAGCTTATACAAGTAGTAATTCAGTTGCACCTCCTTTGTCTGCAGGTTCCCATCCAGCAGACGGCAGAGGGGAGCAGGCTCTGTTGTGGTTTTGCATTGTGCATGGTGCTATCAGATTAACAGAGAATTCATACTGAATTTTGACAATATGGGTAATTCTGACCTGACTTGTAGGAGGAACTACAAATACCCAAAGGGTTTCACCCTTGAAAACTATTTTTTATAGTCTAAACATGACCTTTGACATAAAGACGTGCATGTTTAGGTCTATTTTAATATAATTTTTTTGGTGTATCTAACACAGGATGTTCTGTGAAATCTTGCAAAACCTCGAACATACATTTATCTCAAAATACTTTGTTCGTAAAACAGTGATATGTATTTCAACAGTTGTGATCAGCTGACAGACCTTTTTGACAGAGTGTTGTGGCGTGACTCTCCCAAAGCCATGACAGCTCCTGCATCATGATGGTATAAACATTGCTTGTGTCGGATTTCACAGTCACTTTGTCATGGTTGGGAAGGGAAAGCAGTCCAAAAATGGAGATTTTTTGTTTTCTGCTGGGTTGTGTGAAATTTGGACTCTGGCCACCAGAAGTTACTCTGAATCCCCAGATGCACATCAGTAAGCTGCAAGGTCAGGAACGTTGACAGCAGAGGATTGTGGGGACCGCCACACCACATGAGATGCTCCTTTCTGCCTTGCCCACTATCCTCCCCAAGAAATAACTCTGTGCATGGGTCAGGGCTGGCCCAGGTTTCCCTTTTCCCTTTGGTTTCCCTTTGTAAGCAGGAGGCAGTGTGGTCCCTGGCAGGGTGGGTGCTGTGTGCCTACTTGTGACAGTATTGTCATGGGGAGAGCAGGGCACAGTGGTGCAGTGAGTGGATCCTGTGTGCTCCTCAAGTTGTTGCTTGACTGCTGATGGTCATCTGAGGCTGCTGACAAAGACAGCGTTAGGTGCCGATGGTGCTTACAGCTGGTACCCAAGCACACCTCCTGCCACCATCTTTGTTGTGTTAGGGGAATTCCCTGACTTCTAGAAAGACTTAAACAAGGGGAAAGGAGATATAGACCTCCTGGCTCTTTGCTCTCATTTTCCCTGGCTTAAGTTTGGATTTACTCCTCCAGTGACAATTTACAGGCCAGTGTAACTGGAGTCAGTATTTGGCTCTCTGGGTCTCTTCCATTGTCTGCAAATGAGATAGTACTGTTTGGTAAGTCTGTGTGAATAATTCATGGTTTGGCTCCTTATTAAACAGATGTTGTCTCTCTATTTGCAAATAGTCTGCAAATGGATTGGATTTTTTTCAAATTTATTTGTTGTTCCAAGTTATTCAGCAAATACTTTCTGTAAATAATTTTCTTGTCCTATAGTGCATTCAAAATATAAATTTGAAGTCTGCCTCATATGAGTTTGTCATTGCTAGCTAAAATTTGTTATTTCAGCAACTATGTCTCACAGCAGACTTGACTCATAGAACCTCTGCAGAAAGTTAATACAAGGATGGCATGGATATGTTAAGGATGGATGTCTGGGCGGTATTCTTTTTCCTTTACTACTCATGTAGCTCTAATACTAATCTGCCTCACTGGGTGTTGTGAAGTTTGGAAAGCTGTGTTCTGAATGTGAAATGCTGCTTAAGTAGACATCAATACCCCAGTCCTGGCTGTTCTTCCCTGCCTCTCCTTTCCGTAGCAGGCGGTATGTGGTAGCACAAAGTCCAGCTACTGCTGAATGCACAGCAGGAAATGAGCACAAGAGGTGGTACTCTGCTGTGCTGAGAGTCCCTGAACCAAGCAGGAATCCATGAGACTAAGACTGTGCTAATAAAGAGAACGGGTGAGGGTCCAGAGGGCAAGTAACATGGCATGGTTTAGCTCTCATCCATATGGCTGAATTTCTTTCCTTCCCAAAAGATGTCTGCACCAATTTATGGATGTGGTTTATGAACTGTGCTACCCTCCAAATCATTTCTGGGAGAGTTTCCTAGGAGGTTGAAACTGTGCCACAGGGCGTACAGGCAGTATGGATGTGTGGATAGTAGATAGTTTTCAGTATCTCAGGAACACATTTAAAAGCCTGTGAATTGGCTCAGTGGCATTACTGCAAGTATTGGGTGGCTGTTTGTTTACTTGAAGATCCATTTAGGATGTGCTCAACCCTTCCATCCCCTTTCACTGGGAGGTAGGGGAAAGGAAGGGCTGGTGGTGTCCCTTGAAAGGTGCTGGGAGGAGACCCCAGCTCCCTGTTTTACCCTCTGGGAAACATGGCAGGCTGGAAGGGAAGCTGGGAATCTGGCTGGTGGCTTCTGTTCATAGAGTAAGACCCTGTTAGGGCAGACTGTAATTCTTGTGCATGCTCCTATTAGCTCAGGTAAAATTGTTGCAGGTAGGGCCCTGGGTGTGTTTTCCCTCCTTAATGTGTAAGTGTAGCCCTGTCCTGTTAGGACTACACGTGCTTCTTGGGGATGTTCTAATAGTACATTAGTCTTCAGAATTTCTTTCAAGTTACACTGGTAAGCAAGATCCTTGGGGTGTGTAGAAAGTACAGGACCCCAGCATACATGGGCAGTCCCTTTTTCTAAAGCTGTATTGTTTTCTTTTATCCCCTGCTGTGTTGTTTCAACAATTAAAGGCAAACAAATAAAAATTCTTAGTGAGGAGCTCATCACATGCAGTCCTTGTGAAGCCTTGCTCAGGAGAGAGTCTGCTGGAAATATTTTAGGTAAGAGCGGCTGAAACTTCAGGCGTAGGAACTAAAAGGTGAGATGAGATAGGATCTCTTAGACCTCATACATATTTATCCTTTCATGGTTGCACCTAGCACTGTCCAAAATTTCTTTTTGTATTGAAGAGAAATAAATAAATAAAAGGGCCAGGAAAACAGAATCATTGGTGTTAACTGAGAGCTGTGGAACTTGATTGGCCACACTTGCTTATTCAAGTTAAGATATAAAACCCAAAAAGTTTCCTAGCAGTGGGAAAATACAGAGTCAGTTTGAAAAGAACCAGAACATTATTTCTGCTCCTGTTTTAACTGCTCAGGTATTGATGCTGATCAATACTGTGCTGAGTTTGTAAGCTGTTAAATTTTATATTTAGCATCAAATCAAATATGTTGGTGGAAGTGGCAAGTGTAAAACTGATGTAGGCTTGCTTCACATCTAAAAATGACCTTTACAGTAGCTTGTTTTTCACTTGATATTTTGTCAGAGCTACTGGAAAAAAAAAGAGGTGGGGAAAAGGGTTCCCTTAGCCTTTACTTAGTATTTTCATAGGTAAGGGAATGCAAAAAGCCTAAGTATAGTAAAACTGTCACCTTGAAAAAAATGAAGTTATTAGAGTGTTCTCTCTTACAACTGTTTGTTAGGTGGGCTTCGTTTCAAAAGCATGGACATGGTGTTTTGGACAACTTGTGTTAAAAGTCTTGCTCAGATTAAAGAGCAGACATGCTCCTCCGCATGCCCTTTCTCAGTAAATGCAGTTGCTAACACAGTATTAGAGATGTGGAACTCAGGATTTCTTTCTTTTCTAGACCTTTTTTTTTTTTTTCAGTAGTTGAAGTAGCTGTTGAACTGAAACACCAACCTGTGTCATGGGAAGAGGAGAGAGATGGGTGCCGGGGACCAGTGTAGCCATATAAAAATTGAAGCTGAGATGACATGGGTCTAATTGTGGCAGCACTGAAAGTGTTTTGTGACAGCAAGAGATCCCATTGTCGTAATCTGGATCTGGAGAGGGACAGGCAGGGACTGAGAAGTACTTTGTACTCCTCCCAGCTGGCTTTGTTGCCCTTTGGACATGCTCCAGAACCTCCATGTCCTTCTTGTAGTGAGTGACCCAAAAGTGAACACAGTTTTCAAGGTGTGGCCCCACCAATGCCGAATACAGGGAGATGATCAGTTCCCTAGTAGTGCTGGCCACACTATTTCCGCTGCAAGCCAGGATGCCATTGGCCTTCTTGACCACCTGGGCACACTGCTGGCTCATGTTCAGTTGGCTGTCCACCAGCACCCCCAGGTCCTTTTTTGCCAGGCACTTTCCAGCCACTCCTTGTTGGAGTTCATCCTTGTTTTCATCATGCCAGGGTGTTGCTGTTCAGTGTGAAACCTGGCAGGTGGGAGGCTGGGTGTGTCCATGGGTGTCCTAAGATGACCAACAGCTTCTTGCCACTGAGAGAGTGGATGTCCCTCTTTGCCCTCTCTCTTCTGGTGTCCCATCTTGGAAGGCAGAAGTGGAGAGGGAAAAGGTGCACTCAAGTAAAACCTGAGTAGAGGGATATGTTCGAGAATTTGGAATGAGGGCAGCACAGGTCTAATCTTCTTGAAAGCCATACCTGCCAGGTAGCTAAAGGAGAGGTTCTATGTCCTATGGCTTCTTACACGATGTCATTTTGTTTTGAGCAGATAGGCTGGGGCCTCCGCTTGATATACTGCTGGATTCACTGAACTGCACAGCATTCAGCGTGCAATGGAGGATGCCAAAGCAGCACGCAAGCACCGTCACGGGATATACAGTAAGTGATCCTCCGGGCTGCCAGTAGAGGATTGCAGTGCCCTGCGTGGCCTTGGACTACGCATACGGGACGATGGAGCAAGCAGGAGAGCCCACTCTTGTAACAAATGGTACTGTTGCCCAGAAAGTGATCAGGGACAGTGGGCTTGAAAGAATTGAGCTGTGACTTTAAGAAACAAGCAGTTCATGATTTAGAAGCAAGCTATGATGGGAATTTGGGTTGGATGCCAAGAGCTTGAAGTGGATGTAGATTACTTTTCTGTTGTGGTTTTCATGCGAGGATCTCAGTGCTCTCTGCAGCTGATAAAACAGTAAAGCAAAGCAGAGCAGGTCAATGCTGTACTGCGCAAGTGAAGGGAGTTACAGGGTGATGTTGGGGCCATTCAGATCCTTTGACTTGTACTTCCAGCCTGAGGATAGCTTTACTAAGAATAGCTTTTCCAAACTTAGCCTCCAAACCTTCCCAGACTGGCAGCAGGTACAAAGGTTGGTTTTGTTAGCATTTTCTGTGAAAGGATTTGAAATTTCCAGAGTAAATATTAAAAAATTCAGGTTTATGTACAAAGATGGGAAGCAGAAAATTCCTGGCTACCTTTATTATGAATGTGTACTGGAAGAGTGAGACAACATTGCAATAGGTGTTTCTGGTATACATGCCCCTTCATCCCATGATCTTGTAGATTACATTAATGCAGCCTAGCTGCAGGATTGTTTTTATTGTTATGAAAGTGCATGGAGTCTAGGGCACCGGGAAGCATTTCCTGTGGTCAGAACCTGCCTCTGCCAGACTCTGTGTGTAGTTTGGTCCATGAGGAAGTGGCTTTTTTATAGGTCATGATATTTTTTAAAGAGTCTCAATACTTCATAGTCACAAATGGTAAATAATTTTCATTGTTCATGCAGGTGATCAAGCATACGAACCCCAGTTTATTGTTGAGCCTTGAGCTCATGTGTGTCATGATAATAAAAGCAAAAGCAAACAGCATTGATGGTGCTGTACCCAAACCATCTTCTCTTCCTGTTAGCTTTTGACCTTCAGACATCTCAGGGTCTCTGTGCACAGGAACTCAGACTCTCCATGGCTCATTAGTCTCGATTACATGGCAACAGACATGGAGAGGCATTTATGATACAGTAATTTTTATAATGACATAATCATGTGATGTCAGTGTTTTCCTTATGTGAAGTGAGGTGTCTAACTTGTGCAGACCAGTCCTACAAATCCTGAGCAGTCCATACAGACCATGGCCAAATGATGCACAATTAAAGTTGTCAGTTCAAGTCTGCCCTAAAAGCTAGGCTGTGTTTCACAGCAGTTCAGTGTACACACTTCAAGGTGTTGTCCTTTTATCATACTGACAAATTTGAGCAAATACGAAGGAGATGTTAAAGGGCATTAACTTTTCATGCATTGGGAAAGGTAGGGGATCATAGGCTCAATTGCTGTCCACAATGTGATAACAATGCACTTTTTAAAGTCATTCTGAGACACTGAGTTATTACTTTAACCAGATTGACAATATCTTCTTCCCAAGGTTTTTTATTCAGAGGTCCAGGACGACAAAGCAGTTAAACAGCTCTCACATGATGTTCCCCTGAGTTTGGATATGCTTAGCATGGTGAGTTTTTCTTTTCATCAACAATCAGAGCACTGGAGTGGAGCTTGCAAGCGGGAACTTGAAACTGTCTACATGTTGCTGTTTTGTGAATTATGCTGAACATCCAAGCCTCACATCTGCTCTGGCTATTGAGCAAAAAGGAAATCATAATGTTTTTCCGTAGTCCAGTTGATGTGATACACTTTTGCTCCTTGTTGCCTGACTAATTTATCATGTAAAACTATGGGGACTTTTTGCATTCCTAGTACTGACTTTTGTCATCTACTAAAATAGAAGTTTTAATTTTGAATATACATTCTCTGTGCCCATCCACACATGGAAGGGGAATTGCACGACTCTGTGGTTAGCAGTTGCAGTGTCACTGTATGTGTATTGCAGTGCCTGATACAGATAAGTGTGTGAGTTAAAGGACAGGCAGTTTTTAGTGTATTTTTATCTCTCTGAGACTGTGGCCTCCTGAAGTACAGAATTTAAAGTTTAATAGTGCTGCTTTAGTTGCACTTGTACAAGTCCATCTCCTAGAAGATTCCCTTGATATTTTTTTTATTGTTCTTGAAAGCACTGCTTTTCCTCTTTGCTTCCTATTTTTGCCCTTTCCTTTAGTTCTTACTTTTAACTCTCCTGTGTTTTCTTTCTTTGCTTTACTTCACTCTCCCCTTCTCTTTCCTCCTCCCCTTTTTCTGTCCATTTTCCCCTTCCTTTACTTGTGAATGAACATCACCCCTCTCTTCTGCTGCACGGCTGAGCAATTAGTGCTGAGATGAAAGCAATTCCTCCATGCTTCTGGATGGTTATAGTACTGTCTGCTTTTAAAGGGTATTCTCAAAACATGCCATTTCTTCTTCAGTGCAGCGAAGGTTCTCTTTGAGTTCAGCAAGTCAGCAACAGAGATTCTTCAGCTTCTGCTTGGGCAGAGAGCAAAGGAGCATTGCAAGTTGGGTGCTGTGAGGCGAGCACTTCCATACCTGCTTTCCAAAGGGCAGTCTGTCCAGGAGACAGTGTTACCAGTATAGGAAGCAAAGGTTTATGTGTGCATACAGAACAGCATCCAGGCTTTCCAATCTTTATTTGGTGATGCTTCTTCATGGTTCAGTTTTTTCCTCCTTTCCCTTCTGCTCATCTTCATTCTCCTTTGTTTCCTCACCCCTCTTCCTTCAGCCTCCCCACCTGATGTTCAGTGAAATGGATTCACTGATATTTACTGGGCAGTGCTCAGAAATCTTCCCATTGAGAAGTGTGAGTGGGAGGGTTGCTCAGGTTTCCTGCAGTTTCCCATCACCTTGTTGTCAGTTCTGACTCCTGCAGGTTTCTGTAATCATGACGAATGAAAGAATATTGTTTCCATGATATTTTATTTCTCTATTTATACATTATTTTCTCCCTTCCGGTCTTTATCTCTGTATTCCTCACTTGCTTTGTTTTCTCCAAAAATCATTCTTGCTAGTACTTCCAACAAAGATCAAACAGCACATTGGTTTTATCTTAATCCCGACAGCAGTGATTCTTATTCACTGGGAGAACAGAGTCTGTATCCCAGAACTCACAAAGGTGAGTAGCAGCCACATAGACTCCTGTGCTGCAGCTTTGGACTTGCTTTAATTCCCTGACCTGTTATTTATGTGGTTTTGCCAACACTTTTTAGTATGTTAATTCCTTTAACAACTCCTATTTTGCTTTTTCCCAGGGTCAACTTGAAGGACAAGCAATTTTTGTGAGTATCGCTTCACATCAGACTTTGCCACAGCTGTGATTTAAAATGAAATGGATGTTCCTGACCCTGTCTTTCCACAGATTCACACACAGTAGTTGATCTCAAATGTTGATTCTACTTACCACTTACAAAGGATCTTTTGTAGTCAAAATGTGGCAAATAGTAGCTAAAGCTCAAAATTCAGAGATGAAGAAGGTGGACACATCTATGTACCGCAGCTTTCATTTCAGCAATGGACAAATTTTTCTCTCAGTCATCACAAGTATTATTTATTGTGTATGTTTTGTTTTGCTGGAGTAAATCTGTGTAAAAAACGACTATATCCAGGCAGTGAGGACTTAGAGAGGACAGGGACAGTTGAGCAGTCAGGCACACAGTGACAGGGAAGAACAAAATCTGACAGTGAGAGAGGAGGCAGGCAGGGAATAACCTGAGCCAGCTCAGCAAGAGCCGAGGAGGAGGGGCACGGCAAAAGGCCAGCCATGCAACACTCAGGAGGAAGGAGTGGGAGACTAGCAACTAGTATAAAGCAGGTTTGAAAGAAATACCAGCCCTCTAATGGCTTTGCAGCTGGCAAATTATTCAGATTAATTATTTCCAGTCCTGCACTTAGTCCAGTCTGCTTCCTATGAGCAGTAAATGGCTTTGGTTTATTGTGAGGGAGGAAGGAAGCAGGAGGTGCTTGGGTTTGGGTAGTATAAGGGCAGCGATTACAGTGTTTAAGTGAAATCCCTAACATCAACAAGTTTTTGGAAACTTTTTTTTTTTTTTTTCTGTGAGCTGTTCTGTGAATGGAGAAATCCCACAGAGTTGGTGGATCTCACAAAGCTTTCATGGTCTGACTCAAGGGAAGTTTGCTTGGGCTGTATAGGACTGATGTCCAGATGAGACTTCAGAATGTGCCTGAATCAGGAGTATCTGGTTTGATCCCAGCTGAGCTGAGTCTGGAAGATGACATTTCAGAGTTGAGGTTCCACGCTGGGCCCTTTTTTTCTGCTTGATAAAAATAACACTTCTGAGGGGTGCTTGTGGAGAACTATGACTGACTGGGATTAATCAGCTCCCAGCTGTCATTAATCCTCAGGAAGTGGTGTTCTTGTTGAAATGCTTTCTGTTGTATTCATACCAAACTTAACAGAAATCTGCAATAGTTTTGTGGTTAAGTCTGCATAGTTCATGTTTCCATCACTAAGCCTCCTTTCCTGAGGCTTGGTATGACCCTGCTGCATTCTCAGAGGCTCCTCTGGACCGTCTAAGACAGTCATAGCAAGAGTTGAACTGCATCACATCTTTATGTTTGTGCATGTGTGCATGTACCTGTGTGTTAGCTAAGTAGATGATGTATCATAAGCTGTATTATGTAATTTTATAATCAAGAACATGTAAGTGAGATCAGTTAGAAGTGCAGATGCAGGACAATTTAATAAGGCAGTTGTTCTTTTGGGCATAATATTCAGGAAGTTCAGTAAAAATAATAAAAGAAAATAAAGAAGCAAGAAAAATTAGTCAGCTTTAAGGTGGGATGTTCTAGTTCAGGCATAGAGCCATGGAGAGCAATAGTGTTCCCTATCAAATAATCAAACACACCAGTACAAAATGGGGAGAGACCAGCTGAGACCAGTAGTGCAGGAAAGGAGTTGTGAGGGGATCGAGTGTCATTAAAGCCAGCTCAGTTTCTGCAGCTGAGCTGTAATCCAGGGTTTGATGGGTTTTTGGGTTAAAACAAAATAAACTAGAAAACAAGTTTTCTTTGGAAAACAAGTATTTCTGGTTTTGGAAAATAATTTGTATTCCTGGTTTCTGTGAGGCAGCTTACTGTGCAGCCTCACAAACAGTTTCAGCACACTTGGGGGGAGGGCAAGCGGTGTAGGGGGCCAGGGAGGAATATGTGGTTTCTACGTACACCTGACTCCTCTACCTCAGAAAAGGCATTGCGTGGCTTCACCCTCTTTAGCAATGTGAAATTGGCATGAAAATACCAAATGCCATTTTGCAGGGTTGTAGCAAAAGTGTGGCATTAGACAAGAAAGTGAGGTTAGTGTCTACTAAAGCCTCACTGGCAATGTGATAGCCAGTTTGGAGTATCATGATTCAAAATACAGTGGCAATCTGAGTGGGAAGAAAGACTAAAAAAATTATGAGTCAACTCTTCCACATACTACCTAAATTCGTTATTTGTGAGTCTATTGTATCTCTTCTGGGATGGAGAAAACTTGGGTTTAAGACCCTCCTCCTAAATACAAGGGGAAAAAAAAGATTAAATATGTACTCCCAGGATCCTGGGCAGTGGAGTACAAGAAAACATGTTTCTTCTCCAGAGTGTCATTCAGAATTGTTCTGGTGTGAGTTGGGTGTTGCTTGAGATTGCCACAGGTCAGGGTAGCTTGATGATGTCCTGAAGCTTTACTTATTCACCAAAGTCTTGATCCTAGAGAATTAGGAGGTACTGCATCTGAAAGGTGCCTACTGTATGTCCACCTGTTACGTTCATGGAGACAGCATTGCCCAAGGAAAAAGGCAGATAGCCATGTGTGTAAGGCAATAGAGTACCTTGGGAGGTTTTGAGGGTACACACGTAAGCAGATATTAGGACTTTGTTCTTGAATGGTCTTACAGTTGATATGATTAATTCTGCTTAGTTTATTGTAGACTTGAGTCTTGAGGTAATAATAGGAGGCAGGTGCATCAATATTATACTCTCTGCAGAAGCCAAGTTCCTGAAAGTGTGAAAGCAATAAGACACATAATGAAGGATTTTTTCTCATGAGTGTAATAAAGAGGGATGCTGGCAGGAGCAAATGCACACAGTTTAAATACAGACAAACAGTAAGTATGGTACGGAGGATGGAATGGCAGGAGCAGGGTCATCAGTACTGTCATCAGGAGGAGTTTTCAGCACCTGGCTTTTCAGATAACATTTTGAAAGATCTCAGTCACTTCAGCTGCAAGATTGAAAGACCTGGAAGAATCCTTCCGTATGAGTGTTCTTGTTGCCTCTCTCTGGGCAGGTGTTTTTCCAGCATTGTTGTCATCTCTGTCAGATGAATCCAAGTCATTCAAGCAGATCAAAGGTGAACAATGGAAAAACAGGATAATGGTCAGATGGTCCATACTGAGAGGAAATCAGTGATGGAACTTCAAAACCGCAGCTAGAGAAATGACGGATGGCTGGGTGGTGCTCAACAGTGTTGTAGTAATAACATAAGTTCCCCAAAGAATAGAGAGGGAGAGTTTGTCCAAAAGACTGTCATAAGGAAATTTACCAAATAATGAAATTTTGGGATTGTTTACTATTTTACTGCAACTGGAAATGCAGTTTTAAAGTCTATTCCAGCGTGAAGAGAAAAGAGATCTCTGCATTTTCACATGCACTGTGACTAATGTTTTTAATATCGGAGAATGAAAAACAGGAGAAAAATCTCTGTAAAACATTTTTTTATAAGTGCTTTTTTTTCACATCAAAACAGTCTGTGTTTTAGAACGTGATACTTCTGTTTGCTTGTTAATGCTGTCAAAATTCATAAATATGGGTTTTACATCTCTCCACAGGTAGGCTGCAGGTAAAGAATACTGAATTTCTATGCACACTCACACGTGCTCATTAAAGACCAGGTCTGAATCTCTGAATCTGATCCATGGTATATGCAACAGCCAGTAAAAATAAAATAATTTAGTGACATTTGCTAATTTCTGGGAGACTGAGCAGTGTCATCTGAACAATATTCAGCAGCACGAAGTTAGCATTGCCTCCCGTATGGTAGTTGGTTGTGGGTTAAACTTTCTGTGTTTATGACAGAAGGACAAATAAGGGAAATGCTTGCAAATAAGGTCAAGGCTGATAGCTGGGCTTGGAAAACTGGGAGAGGCGATGGGACTGGTCTCTGCTCCGTGAGAAATCAAAGATCATCAGATCACACTGTGGCAACTTGTTTTGTTCTCAGGGGCTTCTACAGTCTCTGGATTTAAAAGAAAAACAAAACAAAACAGTTTAAAGAAATGCACCAGACTGATACTGAGTGCCAGCAGTAGGCTCAAGGGAAGGAACAGCATGTGAGTTTGACTTCACCAGCAAAAAAGCCAGACAGCAAATGCAAACTTTCTGCAACCTTGTGAGTTATGTTGAGAAATGGGTCCATGTCATCCCTGTGGATTCCCCTGGGGCAAAACTGAAGCCTGAGAGGAAACACATGGTGCTGTTAGTGTTTGTTGCTTCTGGGCTGGGCTGGGGTCAATCCTCCTAGGACGCTACATGGAAAATGCCATATAAGATCCACAAATCCCAGCTCATAGCACTGTCCCTAGTGATATGAAAGACCTTTCACAATGTCCTTGTCTTGTCTTCTCTTGGCTCTGGTAGGAGGTTGTTATTGGTGATCTGAAGCCAGGCACTCCACACCGTGTTAGTGTTGGAGCATATGGCTGGGCAGGGAAAGGACGACCCAGCATGCCCAGAGACGTGACAACCTTATCCCAAGGTAACGCTGTGTGCATGGCTTTTTGCTGCAAAACTGGTAGGGCAGATGTGTGTAACACAGCAGGTCACTAACACCTAAATATCTGTCATATGCAGTATCGTAATATTTTACTATTAATTTTCCTTAAGTGCGGGGTTTTAGAAGGGCAACAGGAGAAGCCTATGAATTTGATTCCCAAGTCTGTGGGTGTTGGGTTACTGTGTGTATTAGCCCATCTTCTTCTCTAATGCTGTTCCTTTGCATTTCTTCTGGCTTAGATAAGTGCATGCCCCCTGCACCACCCTATCAGCCCCAGATTGTGGTTGTTTCTGATTCAGAAGTTGCATTATCCTGGAAGCCTGGAGTGAGTGAAGGAAGTTCTCCCATCCAATACTACACAGTGGAGTTTATCAGGCAAGTTTGCCAGGGGAGTCTGAATTGCATTGTTTGTGAACTACAGGGGTTTTTAACCTAACCCACATTATTAAACTTCATACAGTTCTTTCTCATTATTTCTTTACTCACTTGTATAGCACACTCAGTTTTCCTCTCAGTGTACGTTGAATTACTGTGAAGTTTTAAAGACAAAACCAGAAAACAATCTAATTTGTCATAAAATCACTAATATGTTGTATCTTTTGATTGAAAAAAATAAGGCCTACTTTGATCTGTTCCCTTATTTCCTTTAATAAAGCCCTGGGTGAGTAAAGTTTTAAGTTTCTCATGTCATCAAAATCTATTGAACCATGCTGAGAAAAGAGTGTGTGGCAGATCAGTTCCCCTGAGAACAAGTGCCCTGAGCTGCTGGAGGAAATAATCTGGTCATTGCAAACTCAGTGTGTCATACAGTCTTACCTGGTGAAAGTCTTTTGGGTCTTGAGTTTGCAGGACTCAGACTTGCTTTGTTATCCTAATCTAATCAAGCTTGCATGAAAAGTTGGCTTTTCTGTTTAGATCTTTGGGATGCAGGTGGGGATTTTTTATCTTCTTTTATGCTGAACTTTCTAAAATTTGCAGGAATAGAGGTGAACTGTGCAAAGTTGCCAAACAAGTTGCTTTTATAAGATGTGTATGACGGGTAAGAAGAATGTGTTTGTATCTGTGTGCACGAACAAGTATTCATACCTGACTGTTCAGATGCTCGTGTAAGTTCCTATCTGCATACAAAGCTATCTGTTTTCATTTACTTGTCCCTGTGTTTATCCTTATAGTGAATACAAAATTCAGCCTTTGGAAGTTTAATCCTTTGGACGAACACTTGATGACAGGTTTATTTGAGGTTACTGGATAAGGAGATAGAATTGCTTCTTTAACTAAGAGCTGTGAAGGTCAAAAAATCATTCTTCAGAAAAAGCACATTCATTTTTTAAAAAGAATTTTTAAAACAGACAGAATGAGCTATTGGTTTTCAGCACTCAAATAGTGTTATGAACTAGAAGATGAATTTCCAGGCCGAAAGCCTGCTTGTGACCTTAGGTTGCACATGTGTTTGAATCAAATGACCCATGTTTATCGGGAAACCATCCCATGTTCATTGCACTGAGAAGCAGGACTTGGGGTTTGAAGATACATTAGAACCATCATGTAAACTCTGCTGTGGCATTACCATGAATTTTCTCTTGATACCAGTTTTTCAAACACATCTTAACCTCTCCCTCATCCCCTCATCTCTTCTGTCTCGTTTGCCAGGTGGATGGGGAGGGGATTTTGTTGGGTTCTGATTGACGACACTTCTGTCACCTCCATACTCTTTCCAGAAAGTGGAGCCTGCAGGTTTATATACACCTCTTCATAGCACCAGGGGCCTGATAATGAAAGAAGTGGGCGCCATCATGTCCATCTGATGCATTGAAAGTGCACCCTTGAATATTTTTTGTTCAGCCGCACTGGAAAGTTCCCTTTACTGTTTAAGTTGAAGGATGCGAGTAATTTAAATTTCAGTGTTTTGTTTGTTTTAGACTTTGGGAAAGAATTCGCTAACAGCACAATGTTTTGATTACAGTGTTTAGTTTGAGGCTTAAAGTTAAGCTAAAAGTGTATTTGTTAATTTTGGGATTATGCTCTCTTAGACTTGGAAGCTTGATTATATATGTGGAGAAAGTTCAATGAGCCATAAACCCTAATGGCAGTTAGAGGTGAAGATTTATCTGTAAGCTTTGTTGTCTTTTGCTGAGTAAAGTTTTAATTACTATAAAATATATTATCATGAATTAAAGGTGCTGAAACCAATGTAAAACCCAAACAAAACAGTGCAAATAAATTTAGAATTGTCCTCTTATTTCAAAGAAATATATTAACCTATGCTTTTGCAAAATTAATTACTTTCTTATTCAAATTTGTAATTTCTCTTGGGTGCAGCACAAGCATCTAAAAACAATGACATTGTTTAAATAATTTCTGTCCCCTTAGAACTAACATTATGTCTTTAACCTTAGAAAAAACATGCTTAGGAGACTGAGATGAGGGAAAGACACACTTTTAAGGGATTAAAACATCATGAAAATTCAGTACATTGTTTATACATGCCAGAATCTAACCTGCATCAGAACCAGAGCTAACGTGCAGTCTGTTTCTACCTGGGGTCCAAACGTGGGCCTCTATTTAGGTACTTGCATGAGTTTCCCGTCAGACCTTTTGGTTCAGTAGAGGCAGTGAAGGGCTGCAGGCAGTTTCAGATGTAGGATGAGCTGGGCTAACTCAAGCTCTGCTCCACTGTTGACTGTAAGAAGGTGCTAAAAAGACCACAATCCTAGCTTGGCAAAATGCTGAAAATCAGGATGGCTAATGCAGGTCTCACAGCTCAGAGTGAATATGTAAAATAATGTGTTAAGCCCAAAATAGCTAATGATGTTTGGAAGCTTGCAGGTTCAGTGTAACTAGACTGTTGGTCTATCCTAATGAATATATTGTGAAAAATGTCATTCTTATGAAACCACCTGAATTGAGACTCAGGACTTAAACATACTAGTTTGGGTATTTTTCCTAAAGATACTATAAAAAAAATAATTCTCAAAAATGTCTTGGATATTTGTACTTGAATACTCCAACTATTCAAATTTTTTAATCTGTTGAATGCCTACGCAATATTTGAAACTTGGAAACTAACTTATTCAAGTTTTTGCACTCAGCTAGCATCTACAGAACCACAAGTGTTCAGCAGCGTATGCCCTAAAAGGATTAGATCACTTTCCTTTTATCTCTTTGGTACATAGATGGAGTCATCAGCTTTAAATATTAACCTTGGCATATAAAGAAAATTTTGCAATATCTTGATAGTAAAATGAAACTTACGCTGCAATGAACTAGGCAGGTCATGCCAATAAAACTGAGGAGTTTCATTGGTAGAGGGATATTAGGGTGGAGCAGAGTCAGCACAGTGTTGTGGGCATATTTCTACATTACATTCAAGTCTTCCCCCTTGAGAAAGGTGTATCCTGTATCCATTCTGTGTGAAACTGTCTGTCCCTGGCACTGCAGTGAACCAGGCAGGCATATTTGCTTTTGTGTGCAAAGAACCCAAAACAAAGATCTGACCAGGGAGACACCTCCTGATACCCAGCAAAAATACCTTTAACACTGTTTTCCTGGTTAATGCATGAAACAAATACATCTGCCTCAACATTTGCCTCAGTGTTTGTGAGGGTTAAATCCTTGACAAGGTAGTTAATGCAGAAAGAGGAGTGGAAGGTATAAAAATTAGGGATGAAGTGCTGAACGATGTTAGACAGCGTCAGAGGAATGTTCAATGAGGTTAGAAAATAGTATACTTTTCCTTTCCTCAGAGCTGACCTGGCATATTGGTTGATATATTTTGTAGAAAATGTCACAATAAAGCTGAATAATAATAATAATAATAATAACTGAAAATATTATCCTATAGTGTATTATTTTCTACAGTGAGTATTTTTCATAGCAAATAAGAATGTATTTTACTTGTTACCTTATTTATTATTTGTAGGGATATCTTTAAAAAATTTGTAGAGATGAATTTGCCATTTGAGATGAGTACAAACACGACACAAAAGCACAATCAAAAACCTGATAAAAACTGTATTGCTAGCAGGAGCTTCACTATGTTAAATCATTTCCAGGTGATTTTAAGAGGAAGTTCAAGTGAGTATAAAGTTGCTGTTCTCTGCATCAGAAAGATTTCCTTTCTTAAGCTGAATCAGCACCAAGAACACAATGTAAAACAATAATCCAAATGTTTCAGATACGTTTAGGGCAGAATTCTGCCCTTGGTTGATATTCATCAAGTCCTGTTGACCTGAGCCATCTGTTAATTATGTTAAAAGAGCTAACTTTGTCAATGGCCAGATTCTTACTGAATATAGGAAGTACAGGAAATGCACAGCTGTAACTTCAAGAACAGAAAGTGCCCATGGAGGTTATTTCCCTGTGCACAGATACAGTGTTTGGAGCAGTCTTGTGAAGTCTTGGCTGGAGACACAGAGACTTGTGCCAGTCCAGGGGATGTAGCGCTGCAGAAAGATGGGAAAAGTGGCACCAAGATGAGCTGTTCTGGTGTAAAAATTGAGTCAAACTGAAATCTGATGCAGAAAAGGGGACTATGGACACAGTTTGCAACAAAATGTTCCCAGCTTAGGAACCATGGGAGCTGGCTGGCCCTGGACACAGTCTGCAGCTGAGTTTATTGTGTTCTTCTCCCCATCTGTTTGCCATTTTTTCATCTTGTACGTATTTGTTCGCATGGGGAACGTTCTGGAGAAGTAGCAAAGGTCAAGTGATAAATCTCCGTCTT